GTTGATATTTCAGGTCAGGACCCTTCTTCAGAAATGTCTCATTTATACTTTCCCCCTCTCACCGTAAACCTATGCTCCCTAGTATTTGACATTTCCACTCTGGAGCAAAAAGACTAACAATCCACCCTACCCGTGCCACTCAATTTTCTATTCATCAGTCTGGTCACCCTGAGCCTCTGAAGTTCTAGCAAAAACACAATCCAAGTTTGTCCAAACTCTCCTTAGAACTAATACACTTCAATCCAGGCATTATCTGGTAAAACTAAGCCTGTTCAAAGTGTTCTCATCCTTCCTACAGTGTGGCGGCCAGAACTGCACATAATATGTCACGTGTCTAACTAAAGCGTTAACTAGTTGCAACACAACTTGCCAACTTTTGTACTCAATGCCCCAAATTAAGGGAGCAAGCATGCCATATGCCTTCTTTACCACCAAACTTACTTTCAGGGAGCTATGGACTTGTACACCAAGATCCCACTGTATATCCATGCTCCCAAGGGTCCTGCTATTTACTGCATACCTGGCTCCTACATTTTGGGAGGTCAAATGCATCACCTCACATTTGTCCTGATTGAACTCCATCTGCCATTTTGCCACCCAACTTTCCAACTTATTCATGTTGTGTATCCTTTGACAGCCTTCAACACTAACTACAACTCCTCCAATTGGAAATATACCACTGTTCCTTCAGTGTTACTTGTCAAAATCTTGGCATTCCCTCCTTAAACAGTGAGAGTCAACTTACAGTACATGAACTATAACAGTTCAAGGCAGCAGCACACCACTAGTTTCAAGAGCAACTTGAAACAGGTAACAAATGCTGACCAGCCAGCAACATCCACATCCCACGAGTGAATAAAAAAAAACCAGACAGTTCCCTCAGATTTCCATGGACTTCAATTTTACTACAGCTTCTTGATGCCTCACTTGCTCAAATGCTGCCTTCATATCCAGGGTTAAGTTAATCACCTCACCAAGATTTTGACACGTTGAACAGAATCTTAGCTCAAAGTGAAAACACACACTTAAAGGTACAAGAGAAAATTTTTATGGAACATTGAATGTAATGTTGTCCATGGAATACAGACTGTTTCAAACAGTCACAAACAGCCAACTTGTGAAAATGGAACACTAACTTGTGGTAAAGTAATTCCAAATTCATTTTACAAAGGATAATTCTAACTTTCAGCAAAATTCTCACATAAGGAGACTTGCAGTCGTTTGTCCTACTCTTAAACCAGCTTCTCAGCTGGTATCTTTCCTCAAACACTGATCATCAAATGTTCCATTTTCACAGCATAGAAACGGACTACAAAACAAGCAGCACCTCCTCCATAAAATACTTGTCCTGACTCATCTGAGTATTTCAACCTCAGGGTTCTGTAAAACAATAAAGAATTTGAAGATTTCTCAACATTTATTTGCAGGTTGACTGACCAACGGTTAGCGTAATGTTGTATAACAGCGTAATATCAAGGATGGCATGGCCACAACTCTACTTTCCTGGCTACCCCTATACCCTCGTTTCACCAATAATTTATTCATCTCCTCAAAAATATTTAAAAACATTTCCTTTACTTCTTTTTGGGAAGAGAATTCCACACAGGCCCTGGTTCTAATCTCTTTCACATTCAAATCCCCTCAGGATCTTAAATGATACTCACTCTTTTGAACTCCAATGAAAATAGACAAACCTATCCAACCTTTCCTTATTCAATAGACCTTTCAATCCAAGAATCAATCAAGTGAAAACCAAAAAGAACTGCGGATGCTGTAAGTCAGGAACAAAAACAAAGTTGCTGCAAACCTCAGCAGGTCTGGCAGCATCTGTGAAGAAAAAAAATCAGAGTTAGTGTTTCGGGATGGGTGACACTTCCTTAGAACAAGTTCAGACCAGCTGAGCTTTTCCAGCAACCTTGTTTTTGAATCAGTCAAGTGAATCTTCTCTGGACTGCATCCAATACAATTATATCCTTTCTTAAGGAATGAAACTAAAAATGTGCAAAAGTGATCTCACCAATGTCTAGCACAACTGTCACAAAACATCCTCATTTTTATATTCCATTTCCCTTGCAATAAAAACTTATTTCATTTGCATTTCTAATCACTTGCTTCATACCCAGATCCCTCTGTACCTGAGTTCTGCAATCTCTCTCCATTTAAATTACATGCTGGTTTTCCATTTCTTTCCAAACAGGCAAGTTCACATTTTCCCACATTACACTAACTCTTCCTGATGTTTGCCCATTCACATAACCTGTATTACTTTGCAGACTCCTTACATCCTTTCCTATCTTTGTGTAATCAGCAAATTTAGTAACCATATCAGCAGTCTGTTAATCTAAGTCATTGACATAGATTATGAAGAGTTCAACTCTCCAGCACTGATCCCTGTGGCAGTCCATGCATTACATCTTGTCTAACTAAAAAAAACCCATTTAGGCCAACAGTGCCCAGTCACCTAATCAATCCTTTGTCCATCATAATGTTAGCTCAACACCACTCAAGTAGCCTTTGATGTAGTGTCTTGTCAAAGTCAAGTACACCCACAAATATTGAAATAAAACAAAGAACTGTATATGCTGGAGACCAGAAACAAACAAACATTGTTTGAGAAACTCAGCAGGTCTGGCAACATCTGTGGAGAAAAGAGTTAACATTTAGAGCCCTGTGTTCTGAAGAAGGGAGCCAGGATTCAAAACATTAACTCGATTTTTCCTCCAGCAATGCTGCCAGACCTTCTGAGTTTCACCACCAATTTGTTTGTGCCACTTATAAGCTTGTGACTTCCTCAAAAGAACTCCAGCATGTTAGGCAAGTAAGATATCCCTCTAATAAAACAATTTCATTGTTTGACTGAACTGAGATTTTTAAGGTATCCTGTTTTAGACTCTGATGACAGAATCCAATTTCCCCAAAGCAGATGTTAGGCTAACTCGCAGTTTCTTGCTTTTGGTCTTCCTGTTTTGCCAAACAGAGGAATTATTTTTGCTATGTTTCAGTCAGATGGGACCTTCTTAAAATCTGGGAAATTTCTGAAGATTATGACAAAGGCATTTCCTGTTTCTGCTGCCATTGTTGTGGTCTTTTACGCTCTTAGGATGAAGTCCATCAGGATCTAGGGACCTATTGGCCTTTAGTTCTAATCATTTTCTCAGTATTCTTTCACTCAAAGTTGCATTTGTTTAAAATTCCTCCCTCCCGTTCACCTGTTCATTTACAAGTATTTCCACTTATGTCTCCTACAGTGAAGACTGACAAATACTTGTTTCATTCATCTGCTACTTCTCTACTTTCCATTGCTAGTTCCTGAGACATTTGATTCAAAGTCACTTACAAATCAATACTACATTTATATAGTTTTCCTAAATCTGTAGAAATGACTAACTAGATTTTATTTTTAGATAGCCTTCTCTCATATCTTGGTTTCTCCTTTATTCTTATACTCACTCTTTGATTTTGAAAAAATTCTGTCTAATCCTTGTGAAATTCTTCACTTGTTAATTTGATGGTATCTTTGACTTCCTTAGTGAATCAAGGATGCTGCATCCTTCCCTTAGTGTGTCTCTCTCTTTTGAATGCATCTTTGCTGAATGTAATGCAATATCTCCTAAAAATCTGCCACAATCTCAACTGACCTGAAATGTAATCAACTCTTTCTTGAAATCCTACAGTGTTTTGGCCTCAACCACTTTGTGGTAGTTAACGCCACAGGCTTACTACTCTCTGGTGAAGACATTTCCTCTCATCTCAGTCCTAAAAGGTTTATCCCTTAAACTATGAACCCTGGTTCTGGACTCCCCACCATTGGGAACATCCTTCCTGCATCTAACCCATCTCGTCCTGTTATAAATTTTATAGCCTAAGATGCCTCCCTCATTCATCTGAACTCCAGTGAAGAGAGTCCTGATGGACTCAATCTCATGTCAGTCCTGGAATCCCTAGAATCTGGTAAATCTTTGCTGTACTCCCCCTGTAGCAACAACATCCTTCCTCGGATAAAAGAGGCCAAAACTGCAGAAATATACTAGGTGAGGCCTCACCAATATGCCGATAATTGCAACATGACATCCCACCTCCTGCACTCAAATCCTCTCATTACGTAGGCCAACATAAATGCCTTCCTTACTGCCTGCTGCACATTTACTCTCAACAACTGGTGTTGAATTTCCATTTCATGAAGCCATGCTAACCGTGCTTGATTCACATGCACCATTTTCATTTACCAGCTTCAGTAAATACCTGTTCATTGCTATTCATGACTTACGTGATTTATCTGGTCAATACAGACAGGTATGCAATAAGAAGCCATCAATTTAAAATTGTGATAAAGATGGGGAAGAGAGGAGTTAAGCAACAAGCATGTCAATACAAATCATATCTGAGCCTATAGCTACTCCATACTCACGTGGTAAGCGAAGAGGCAGACCTCATACCTCTACTGTGCTACCTTAAATCAATATTATTCCAATTATATGAATGTTTTCCTTGAGGCTTTCATCCACCTAATTGATGCTCTGTAACCACAAAGCTGAAAAAAATCTGTTTAGTAAAAGCTTTCATCGAGGCATCTGCAGGCCAATCCATGTCTAACAAACTTCTGAATACTCTGTTCATACTTTAACAGCTGCGATAATTTGCACAACTGCATCCAAAAACAATCTACGACACTCAAGAAAAATTCATCCCATCTCTCATTATTAATGGATCCTTTAAGTAACACCAGGATTTACATCCAGATCCGTAATTTTGCAAACAAAACAAGTTCTTCCCTGGGCCGTACCCAGTGTACCAAATTCTGACAAAAATCGTTCGTTAGCTTTTGAGATGTATTATTCACAAACAGATTAAGAGGCAAAAACATTAACCACAGAGAAGCTAACTAGTCATCTATATTTAATGCACTTTTGAAACAACTATGAGATAGCTAGCATAATATATTCAAATATAGACTAATTTATCAAAAATATAATTAACTAGTAATTCTTAAATATACTTACACATCATATTCATATGGTAAGACTGATTCCACAGAGTCCAATCTGTTTACAAATACTTCAATGTTTGACTGAAAATAAAATAAATCCTTTTAAGTATTTGCATCTTAGTTAATGCTTAGTAACTCTACCGGTGTATTCAAATTGTTACAATTTTGTTGAAATGTCCAAGTTTCTCACTAAACAATACAGATAAGGGAAATAAACAAATATAAATTCTAGGTCATGCTGTCAATTTAGTCAAAATATTACAATTCACACAACATTTATCACTTATATGGACACATACAAAGATCACCTAGAAATTTTTTAATACAAATAAACTAAGAACATTCTTACTTGTAAAGCTTTCAATACACCAGGGCACATTATTATGATTTCTAATTCCTTCATATGCCTCAATGGCACAAGAAAGTTCAACGTAAAACACAGGAACAGAAATAGGCCATTATATTCAGATATTATTCTTCTTCATCTTTGTCTGAAGTGGGCAACCTCTTACCGAGTCTACACTCTCTGGTCCTAGACTATCCTCGAAGGAGATAACCTCTCTGCATCTACCTGGTTAGATCAGAATCATATATAGTTTTGGCATGGTCTCCACTCCCTCAACTCCAAAAGTACATCTCCAACCTACTCAACCTCTCCCCAAAAATATCCCTCCTTTTCCAGGATCAACCGAGTGAACGTGGACTGCTTCCAGTGGCAGTATTGGAATCTTATGACCCTCAACATCAATTATGCTTATCGTATTTAGTAGCTTCATGTGTTACGGCTTATGGAATTGCTTTGGAAATCCAAATATTTCCAAACTTTGCTCAGAAAACTGTACTGCTACACCACTTCCCCCTGCACTCCCACACCCTCATTGTTCAAGTACAAACAGTGAGGGTCATGGCCTTGTGGTTCAGTGAGTTGGAGAAGTTGCAAAAGTTGCAAATAACAAAATCAGCAAGGTTGCATGTTCAGTCCTTATTTTATACTGATAGATAAATCCTCAAAGTTAAGATTCTGTGTGACGTAACAAAACAATGCACTCAACATAAATTTTATGTTTATTAACTTGTAGTCAAAGAAAGAAAATATTGCCTGAATATATACTATTTCAAATCAGAATATCAAGTGAGTTTAAAGAATTTATGTCACAAAACATGTTGAAACCAACCTACCAGAAGATAAGGTAATTAAAGCGGCCAGAGATAATAGTGATAAATATTTCAGTTATAGGTCGAAGACTTACCAAGGATTTTGATAAAGTCCTGAGAGAAGAACCAGTTTCCACTGACATGACGGTCCGTAATCAAATGACACAGATTTAAGATAATTGGCAAAATAACTTGAAGAGGTTTGTTTGAAACTTGACTGTTTCAAGTCAAGATGAACCTGAATTCATAGGATGAAAAGGAGCTTAAAGAAATTTAAAGCTACATTTCAAAAGAGAAGTAGATAACTATTGGAAAATGGACAAATTGACAGGGCTATTGGAAACAGTGGGGAGTGGACTAAGCTTAGCACACTGAGCCAAATGGCTATCTTCTTGTGCTCAAGAAGACTAAAAACAGGAGTCAGAGCAGGCCATTCAGCCTTTTGGGCCAGCTCCGCCATTTGATAAAACTGCAGCTGATTTGTTGCAACACCATTTTCATGCACTCTGTATTGCTTGCTGTTTTTGATATTAGAAATCTCAGTCCAAAACATGTTCAACTGCTGAGCCTTGGGAATAGAGAACTCCAGGGACTTGCCACTCTGAATGAGGAAATTCCTCATCTCAATCTTAATTGTCCTGCTCCTTATTCTCTTATTTTTAAAAGTGTCGCTGGTTCTCATCATCTCCTGCACCCTCCCCATCAATAAACAAAAACAAGGGAAATATCCTCTGATGAGCCCTTTAAACATTTAAGTTTCAATTAGATCAGACATTGTAAAACTGAGTGCTAAAGGGCAACAGCTAACAATCATCTCATTGTATAACAGGGGAGGTATGACGCAGTGAAAACGACATTGGACTAGGAATCCAGAGCTCAGGCTAATTAATGTTCCCAGGACAAGTTCAAATCTCACCATGGCAATGGGGAAATTTGAAACCGACTTAATATTGTTTGATGTAACAACCCATCTGGTTCACCAATGTAAAATCCACTATTTTGACCTATGAATGACACAGTAATGTCAGCGATTCAACTATTCCCTAGGCAATCAGGAACAGGCAAAAAATTGTCCATGCCCCATGAGTGAATAAAAAAGTCTAAATTGAACCTTATTTTTGGACATTAAAGTGAAGACATCAAAATGTGACAAAACTCCAACTTTCATCGAGGTCATGGTCTACACAAAGCGCTGAACTTGAGCATTCGAGATCAAATACATTGTCAAAAGAAAACAAGAGACAGAAGAATTTCATGATCAAAATGTAATCCCAGACTGTGTTCAGAAGATTTTGCCAAGTCCTGATATGTTGATATATTTAGGATCCTGTTGCAGTTATGCAGCGTGTTGGTGAGGCCACACCTACAAAACTGCGAGCAGTTTTGATCTCCTTTTCCAAGGAAGGATGCTTGAGGGAGTGCAGCAGAGGTTAACCAGGCTGACCCCAGGGATGGCAGGATTGACATACAAGGAAAGATTGACTAGGTTAGGATTGTTTTCGTTGAAGTTCAGACGAAAGAGGGGGGGAATCTCAGAGACTTAGAATTCTAACAGGACTGGACAGGGCAGATGCAGGGAGAATGTTCCCGATGGTGTGTGCGCCCAGAACCAGGGGTCACAGTCTCAGGATTCGGGGCAGACCATTTAGGACAGAGATGAGGAGACATTTCTTCACCCAGAGTGAAGAGCCTGTGGAATTCATTACCACAGGAAGTAGTTGATGCCAAAACATTGAATGTATTCAGGTGGTGACTAGATATAGCACTTGGGGTGATTGTGATCAAAGATTATGGGGAGAAAGCAGCATTAGGCTATTGAGTTGGACGATCAGCCATGATCATGAAGAATGGTAGAGCAGGCTCGAAGGGCTGAATGGCCTCCTCCTGCTCCTATGAGGTACCAGGAAGTTAGAAGATTTCGTCTTGAATAAAATTTGCTTTGAGTCACTAGCTTGTTTAAATTCATAGAGTCATTCAGCAGAGTAACAGGCCCTTTGGTCCACGATGTCTTTGCCAACTAGCAAACACCATACTACTCTAATCTTATTTACTTGCACTTGGTCCACAGCCTATGCCCTGGCATTTTAAGTACTTATCCAGGAGCCTCAAATGAGAGAGAGTATCTGCCTCTGGGTGAAATTATTCTCAGATCACCTTGAAACCATTGCTTCTCACCCTAAAATTATGCACACCAGTCTCAGACATGTCTGCCACGGGAAAAGATTCTCTCAAATTACTCTTTCGATTCCTCCCATAATTCTGTATACCTCAATTACTCATCCCCTCAGCCTCCTTAGTTCCAAGGAAAACAAGCCCAGCCTATCCAATCTCTCCTCGTAATAGATTTCAACCCAGGCAACATCCTGGTGCATCCCCTCTGTACCCTCTCCAGAGGAATTATGTCCTTCCCACAACATTGTGACCACAACAGCACACATTACTCCATCTGTGGCCTGACTAATGTTTTACTAATTTCTAACAAGTCTTCCTTACTTCTGTATTCTAAGCGCTGGGTAATGAAGGCAAGCATGCCGCACTACCCGGTCTATCTGTGCTGAATTGCTGCCAAGTGTGGGCTTAGAGCAGGCTTCAGGAAGAGTGTGACTTTTGAATAGAGAAAAACATGGCATGGATATTTGACTATTGAGTGCTTGTACATGAACACATCAAGGAGGAGTCACTGAGTAGCAGGTTAAACAAACAGTAGAATTGTTCAGTAGTACACGGAGTCATTATCAGCCCCTTACAAAACAAAATACTACAGATACTGGGAACCTAAAGAAACAGAAAAATACTGCAAATACTCAGCAAATCAAGCAGAACCAATTTCTTTTCAATCATTCACAAGATGTCTATGTCATCAGTTGATCAGCATTTATGGAAACAAAGTTTACACGGTATAGGTTTGCTTCCATTCCAGTGAAGCTTCTCCAGTCCTGAGGAAGAGAATACCTGAAACGTTGACTGCTGCTTTCGTCCTGCCTGCTGTGTTCTTCCAACCTCCCATTTGTCTACCAGTAAAGCTTTAACTCTTTCTCAATAGATGTTGTTCAACGTGCTGTATTTCCAGCAAGGATCCACCTTCTCAACCTCATCCCCTCAAGGCACAGTGACCCTTGGATTAAACTCAGAACCATCATCTCTCTCTCTCTCTCTCACATCAAAGCAGTCTATGCTTGTCTGTGACTATGGATACTTTCACTTTTCATGCATTTCCAGTACAGTTTTTATACCCTCAGGCGCTTTATTGCTCACTAACTTTAAAAGGCAAAGGATACCTAGAACAGAGTTTATGATATTTCTGACAAAGTTATTTAAGGAATCACTAAAATCAGCATAGACAAGCACAAAATCAAGCTCTATGGAGTTGTCAGATGTGAAAATTAGTTTAACCACAAATTGCTCAATTTTAGCTGACTAACTGTTAAAGGAATATGTACACCAGGTGTTCCATTAAGAAAATAACTACTGTAATCAAATAAAAGCCAAAAGAACTGTAGATGCTGTAAATCAGGAACAAAACAGAAGTTGATAGAAAAGCTCAACAGATCTGGCAGCATCTGCGAAGAAAAAAAATTCAGTTAACATTTTGGGTCCAGTGACCCTTCCTCAGAACGGTTAACGTTAACACTGATCTTTTTTCTTCACAGATGCTGCCAGGCCTGCTGAGCTCTTCTGGCAACTTCTGTTTTTGTCACTGTAATCAAATAGTTTTTAAACCAACAGCAATGTATTGTTCTTGCCAGCTTCTAACTATAACTTTAACACTACCTCTTTCGAGAACTCCCACAGCATAGAAACAGACATACAAAGAAGACAGACAAGTATTATGGGTGATGAAGGGACAAAACAAAAGTAACTGCAGCACAGTTCTAGCACCAGTTTGAAGCACAGACTTCAAGTGGTTTTCTTTTGGCTTTCTTCAGACTTTTTGCTAATGACATGAGGTTATGGATACTCCATTCTGTCTTTCATTCACTAGCCAAGAATACATTTTTCAATACCTTTCACGGTGATTTTGTTTGCTCTTTTAATTTCAACAAGGGAATTTGCAGAGCAAACTGTTTAAAGGGAAATGTTGAGCAAGAACATCCACTGGGAGACTATGTTACTAATCAGCACAGCAGGAGCAGAAAGAAATTGAGGTGCTTTCTCCGTGCAGGCTGCAAGCTTCCTCGACATTGCTCAAATACAAGGCTGTGGCTACTTGCCCAGGAACCAGTCAAGTGGCTGTTAATATACTGAGCTCTCCAGAGCCCACAACTTGGTCTTATTGAAAATCAATTTTATTTTTAAAACAGGGCAAAAGGGGTAGCCTGGAAATTACAAGTCAGTAAGCCTGACATCTGCTGTAGGTAAAATGAAATGTTGTCCCGAAAGATACCATGGAACATCATGGAGTATCAAGTTATCAGGACTTGTAATTAAGTCCTCAGCAAACATTATACCAAAATAACAGATTGCAGACTAATGAAAATCTCTGCTCCAAATTAAAATCTAGTGTTCATTATCAGAAAAATCATTTGAACCAATTTTTCTTCCCAAAGCTATATATAAATACATTGTCTGTTATTTTCATTGATAACACCAATTACCTAAATGGGTAAAATGTAGGTAAACAGGAACACCAAGATATGCCATGGACAACAGCAAAATAGCTGGGGACAAGGCTAAGTGACATTGAATCCTAGTAAATACATTACAACATATCCACTATAGAGCAGCAACCAGGAAACCTAACAGAATTGGGAACTATACAGCCAAAATAATTTTAAAATCCCAGCCAAGACTTGTCATGTTACTAGCAGGCAGCACATAATTAAAGATCACTCTAAGAATTGCAAAGATCAGTAAATAGGTGCCATGCCACTAGGCTAGTAGGCTTAGGCAGGCCCAGTTTCAGATCAACTAGAAGGCCCTCCAAGCTGCTTATAACTTCAAGCAAAAGAGGAAGCTTTTTTGGTCACGAAACAAAGGAACCAGAAATTCAGTATAAGTAAAAAAGATTTTCAACAAGGTCACAAGATAAACATTTTGACCTAGGGCCTGTAACATGACCCATGTGGGTGTTTGAAGTTGTACCGTGCAACTTACACCACACCATTCTAGGAAAGATCCCATTATGCAGTGGTATCACAGGAGA